CTTTTGGATTGGATGCACTGATTGATGAGTTGGTCACAACCCCAGAGTGGAGATACTTGTTGTTTGATTTTCAAGAGAAGACACACATTGACATGTTGCACGAAGCGTTGGTCACAATGCAGGTGTTCCCATTCACTTTCACAACTTCCCGGGCAATAACCTTTAAGCTGGGCAACACAAGGTTTGATTTTTCTTTGGATGATCTGAGCCGATATATGGGTTTTGATGCCTTACAAGATTTAACTGAATCCCAAAAGGATGCACGGCACCTTGAAGTCCCTAATGAAGACGAATTCTGGCAAGAAATAGTTGAAGGGGCTGTGGCACTGGAGTACTCCCGGAATTCCAATGTTACATTCAAAAGAAGGGAGTACAAAGTTTTGCATTATATTGTTGCTCATTGCATTTGTGCTAGGTATGGCACAACAAACCGGGTTTCTCGACCTGATCTTCTTTGCCTTTATGGCATCATTAAGAAGGAACCGGTTCATATGGGTTATCTCCTTGGGATGCTATTTCACAGCCAGCACCTTCCAAATGTGCATACTCTTTATATCGGGCCATTCTTGACTAGATTGGTGAAAGGTAGTGGAAAAACAGTGAATATCTCAGGGCCATCATCCGATGGAGTGCATCAAATCACCGACCGCAACATGATCAACATTATGAGAGCTGAGTCAAACAAGAAAGAGGGAAAGAGGCGAAAGACTGATGCAGGGGAAGAGGAACATGCAGAGCTTAATGCTAATCAGTTCATGGGAGAAGCTGTTGGGACTAGAGAGGGATCATCCTCGGCAAGCATGACACCGTTTGAAATTCAAATGCTTGACAGTATGAAGGCAATGCAGCTTGAGCAAAGAGAGCAAGGGGCACTTTTGGATACGTTGTGTGTCAACAACCTCCACACGTCTGTCATGGAGATTCGCATTTTCTTCCCACCAGAGACCCCTACGGGTCCACCGCCTCCCTTCTACCCTCATGCATACTTTCACCCGCCTGGGGGCCCTGACCAACCCTATGATCCTCGCTACCATGGATTCTGATGATGGTTTTGTGAAGATGGTTCTTTTGTTTGGTTATGGTTTTGGTTATGGGATTGTGCTCAAAACTTTTGCTGCTTTAACTTTCAAACTTTAACTTTCAGACTTTATTTACTTTCAATTTTTAGCATGCTTTTTAGTCTAGATATTTTGCCTTAGTAGTTTTCTAATATGTTTCTTTTATGCCCCGAGCTTGACCCTTACCCCTTTGTGCATGTTATTCTTGGTTCTTCTTCTTGTTTTGCTTCTACATCGGGGGCGATGTCGTCTTTAAGTGTGGGGGAGGGAATAATTTGAGTGCTTTCTAAAATTTGACAAAAAAAAAATGAAGTTTTTGAAACTTTTGCTTGAATGACTCATTGAGTTTTGTGTGAATAAATTGTCTATCTATGCTTGAAATTGTGATTACTCCCTACTTGTTGGTTGGTGGTTTGATTGGTGGTTCTTGTTGCAATACAATTTGTGATTGATGATTTGAGGTACACCATATGATTGATCTATTCTCTTGCCAATTTCCTTGTTAACCACTTAATAAATGAATAAATTTTTGATCTTGTGTGTTATGCTTTGCTAGTGAAGGCTTATGTGAGATTCCGGTCATGTTTGTTTTGCTAGAACTTGCCTAATTACTCCCCAAGTGAAGCCCAAGATTTGCATGCTTTGAAATGATTTAGGCCATTTTTGTTTAGCCCAAGCCTTTAAACCTACCCTTACATATGTTTTTATCATTCGTTGTCCCCGTTGAGCCTTTTGTTTGTTTAATAAGTGCTAAGCACTTGTCCACTCTTTGTGATTGTTTTTCCTTGTGTTAACCCTAATCTTTTAACCTTCAACCTTTAGCCAAAAATATTTTCCTCCATCCTTGAGAGAATAGAGCATTTGTTCTTTTTCTTAGAAGAGATCTTTATTGGAGCTTGTTTTGTAAGTAATCCTCTTGATAATTTTGCCTAAGTGTGGGGGTCTTGATTCATTGAATAAGTTTGTTGGTTGATTTGTAAAAAAAAAAAAAATGATGTAAAAAAAAAAAAGAAAAAAAAAAGAGAAAAGTATTGAAAAAGTGATGAAAAGAAGAAGAATAAAAGTTTGAAATTTGTTTTGAGAGTTGTACTCAACCCCCACCACTTTAGAGGTTTGTTTTGTCCTTTGAGTCTTGTTTGCTCCTTAGTCCATAGATGTTATATCTCTTCTAACTCTACTTGTGAATAAATGTGAAGTTCTCTCTTTTGTTTAATTTCCATACCCCTTCTTTGTTAACCTTTCACCCTTAGCCCCGTTACAAGCCAATAAAAGTCCTACTTGATCTTAGCATGCAATCTTAGAGTTGAACTAGTGGGAGTATGAAGGGCAAGCCTATGGGATCTCATTCAAAGCCAAGTTTTGCATAATCTCAACTTAGTATTGTGCACACTTGATCATCACACACTTAAATAATTTTGGTGCTTGGTTATTGGCTTGAGAATGGAACTTGTGTGGAATGCTAAAATGATTCTTGAAACAAGTTGTGTTGTAGCAAGTTGGCTTGTGGATTGACAAGTTGAGCAAGGTGGGAGTGTGATCAATTTCTTTGCTAGGATAGTGATTTATTTTTGTCTTTGCTTGAGGACAAGCAAAAGTTTAAGTGTGGGGGAGTTGATAAGTGCATTTTTGTCTATATTTTTACCCCTTCTTGAACCCTTTTTATTTGTGAATATCCTAAAAACTTGTGTGAATTGTGATTAAGTTATGTTGGTTTTATTTCAAGGTACAATCATTCACAACAAGTGAGGAATTCAATGATTTGTGGGAAGATACGAGCAATTTTGGGACCAAGAGATCAATCAAAGAGTTTGGAATGCATTTAAGAATTTTCAGCAGCCTCGTACCCCCTTGCGTACGCCCATCCGTCAGCCCATCCAAGATCTCAAAAAAAGAAGCAGGTGGCGTACGCCCTGCCGTACGCCCATACGTATGCCCGTACGCCCTTTCCAGTGAACCAAGATTAAATCGTACTGCCTCAGGGATGGCCATCCCTAAGGCAGTACCTCTGTGCTCTGTAAAATATTTATGCGATTTTCTTGGATTTTTGGAGTAAGTTAGAACCCTAAATAGCTAGAACTCATTTCTCTTCATTTCCTTAGACTTCCTTAGCTTAGACTAGTCTAGTATTACATCTCTAACTCATCTAGCAAGCTTGTAAACGCGGATTGGAGCGGGATTCAACCACAAATTTCTTCATCTTCAATAGAGAAGCTTCTTACTCTTCTTTTAAAGCTCTTGTGCAATGTTTATGATATTTTCTTGTGCTTTGTTGTTCTTTATGCTTATGAAGTGTGAGTAGTCCGTTTTTGGGCTCGGATTAGGGTGATATTGCCAACCTAGATGCTAAATAGGTGATTATTGCATAAGGGGGAAGATATCTAACCTAGGGTTCATTTGTTTGTGAAGGATTTATGTTGAATCTTGTTAATATTTGGTACGTAACTCTTATTAACTTGCTTTTGGATAGTTTTTCTCCACAATGAAAGTTGGGGGAAGAATTTAAGCCTCTCCTTTCTCTAAACCCATTTTCTTTCTATGAAAATAAGGAAGAATTGGGGGCCTAAAAGCTTATGTGCTTTAAGAGCTAGGATTTGATACACCATGAAAGTGGGGCAATCCTTGCTCTAATCCTTGTTTATTAGCTTATGAAAATGGCTTTAAGCTAGGATTTTTATATGCTTTGCCCTTGTGTTCCCTTGGTTGATGTTCTCCCCTAATCCCTAAGTTGTTAAAGCATCTAGAAGGCAACATCCCCTAATTTGAGCCCATCTTTTATCATTGTGTTTACTTGTGTTTAAATTGCATTGTCTTAACTAGATTTTTAGCCTTTAATTATTAACTTTACCCAACCATGAATTTGAATTTGCTTGGATTCTTGTGGGTTCCAATACTTTGGTGCCTAGAATTTTAGTTGTCACTCAAGTACGTGCCATAGTCCCAATCCCTTGCGGAACGACAATTTACACCCGTTACTCACCATCTCTTTCCCGTACACCAACGCTTCAGCAGTCCCCAATGTTCATCTGTAGGCGAATGCATGAATTGACAAAGACGATTAACAGAATATGATAAATCTGGATGAGTAATGGTAAGATACTGTAGGGCCCCGGCTAAGCGTCTGTATTGCGTCGGATTGTCAAACAGACTAGATGACTGACTGATTGGCTGGGAGACTGATGCTGGGGTTGCAAGAGGCTTACAATCGGCCATGCCTGCTCGCTGTAAGATATCATGCATATAACGACGCTGAGTGAGTAGCATGCCTTTGGGAACCCGTAGCGTCTCTATACCCAAAAAGAACGTTGGCGTACCAAGATCTCTAATTTTGAAGGCTGTAGCCAGCTTGCTCAACAAACGATCAATAAGGACAGCATCATCCCCTAGCATGATGATGTCATCGACATAGATAAGAAGGAATACCCTCGAGTCTCCCTCCAAGTAGTGAAATAGGGAGACATCGGTCTTCGAAGCTACAAAACCTGTGTGGAGCAAAAAATCGTGTAGATGTTTGAACCAGGCCCGTGGCGCCTGTTTCAACCCATACAGAGAACGCTGTAAGTGACAAACATGAGTTGGGTGATCAGGGTCCTCATACCCTGGAGGTTGCCGCATATATACAGCCTCGGACAGACGGCCGTTAAGAAAGGCGTTGTGGACATCTAATTGCTGCAGAGTCCACCCGCGTGACACGGCTAGAGATAATAAAATCCGGACTGTGGTGGGTTTGACCACTGGACTGAATGTCTCAAAAAAGTCCTCCCCTGCGACCTGATTGAAACCTTTGGCCACTAAGCAAGCCTTATAGCGCTCGATAGTACCATCAGCTTTCCGTTTGGTGCGAAAAACCCACTTGCACCCTACTATGTTCATGTCTGATGTGGCAGGAACCAGCTGCCATGTACAGTTATGTATTAACGCATTAAACTCTTGATCCATTGCATCTCACCAATGGGAATGCCCAACTGCCTGCGAGTAGTAAGTAGGATCAGGAATTGACGCAGTGAGAGCATGAAACTCCTCTGCGGCTCCCCGAGTCTGGTGGCGTAGACGCATTACATGAGCCCGCTCTTGTGGCCTATCTTTAGCTCGATGCCGGGTCCGAGCACGAGCTTGGGGCTCAGGCTGAGATTCACCTATAGGGTTAGGCGGTGGAAGAGCCGGGGCAGTCTCGCCACCGTAATGAGCAACGGGACTGGAGGCCCATGGTGCATTGGGCTCGGATGGAACGCCATTTGCCTGAAAAGAACCAACTGTTGCAAAAGGAAAGTTAGTTTCATCAAAGCGGACGTGGCGGCAGATATAGGTTTTCCTGGTGTGTAGACTCATGCAGCGGTAACCCCTAAAAGATGGAGGGTAACCTAAGAAGACACACGGGCTTGACCGGTACTCGACTTTATGTCGGTTATACGGGCGTAGATAAGGGAAGCATAGACAGCCAAACACACGAAGCCACGTGTAATTAGGTGGTTCGTGATAAAGGCGATAGTGGGGTGTATCAAACTGGAGTGAGGCTGACGGAAGACGATTGATAAGAAATGTGGCAGTTTCAAATGCGTGATCCCAATAACGGAACGGGATAGACGCTTGTGCTATCAATGCCAAGCCGGTCTCGACAATATGCCGATGCCGGCGTTCTACACGCCCGTTTTGTTCGTGCGTATAGGCACATGATTGCCTGTGCATAATTCCTAAGGATGAAAAGACTTTGTGTAACTTTTGATATCCCCCCCCCCCCCCCCCCCCCCAAAATCAGACTGGATGGACTTGATAGAACGTGAAAACGTCCGTTCTACCATCGTCCGGAAAAGCTCAAAAATTTTATAAATATCTGTTTTGAGTCGCAGAGGATAATACCAACAAAAGCGAGTATTATCGTCTACGAACAATACAAAGTAACGCGAGCCATCCGCCGAAAGGACCGGCGAAGGACCCCAAATATCAGTGTAAATGAGATCGAGTACATTATTACTTGATTTAATAACCCTATCTAAAGGAAAGCGGGACGATTTTCCTAATTGACACGGATTACATAATGCGGGCATTACACTTTTATTTGACTCAACGGGACAATTTTTCAAGATACGCTGCAAGGCTTGACCATGTGGGTGACCGAGACGCTGGTGCCAGACCAGGGAAGAGGCACGAGCCGAGACGAACGCGTAATGTGACTTCGGAATTGATAGCGAGTATAAGCCCCCGAAACTTGGTCCCTTAAGAAGTACTGCCTGCGTGGTGCAATCCTTCACAACAAAAAAATTAGGATGAAATTCGAAAAAACAATTGTTATCTTTTGTGAAACGATTGACCGATAATAATGAAACAGAGAGTTCAGGGACATGTAAAATATTACACAGTTTTAAGGATTTGGAAACGGAAGGAATAGCTGCATGACCAACACGCGAGATCACCAAACCTGAGTCATTTCCCACTCTTAGAACCTCGTCTCCGTGATACTCTGTGGACTGCCCGAGAGCGCCGAAATCAGGAGTGGCGTGGGCAGACGCTCCCGTGTCCGGCAGCCAGGATGTCACCGCCGGGACGCTTCCATCACCGGCGACTGCTACGTGAGCCTGGGAGGGTGGTGGCTCGGAATAACGCTTATAACAGAAAGCCGCAGAGTGTCCCTGAGATCGGCAGATCTGACAGCGGACTCCACCACCTCGCTGATTTCCACGGCCACGACCGTCGCGCCGGTTCCCGCCGCCACGGGATTGGCCATCTCCTCCACGCGACTGGCCACCGCGCTGAGAACCGTCGCCGTTCTGCCACCTGCCGCGGCCAGCATACAGAGCCGACTGCTGTCCACTCGCCATTCCCAATTGTTGAACTGGAAAGTCATCCTCATGGATGAACTGTTGCGCCTGTAAATAGTCGGCTAACTGCGGGATCGTCACCGGTGTACCGGAGACCGCCAGGGAGGCTGCCATGGACCGGAATTCCGTTCGCAACCCCCGGAAAACATATAAATTCTGCTCCGATAATGTCATTGTCCGTCCAGCCAGCGCAAGATCTTCTACCAAATGTTGTGCCCGGCCAAGGTACTCTTGCGTGGAGGCGTCACCTTGCCGCAAGGACTGGAACTGCCCCATGAGATTGAGACATCTCACCTGCGATGATGACCCCAGGGCTGTTTTCGCCGCAAGCCACACCTCACGCGATGTGGTCTGTCCAAGCGTGAGGTACATGACTTCTTCTGAAATTGAAGAAATCAGTAAAGACAAGATGGAGGCATCTTGTTCTATCCAAGCCTCATGGGTCGGGTTAATGACGGTGGTGGGAGTGCCATCCGAAGAGTCGCCGGCGGAAACCTCAAGCACGGGCGACGGGCACGGTCGAGATCCATCGATGAATCCCAACAGTCTTTGTCCACGCAAAAAAAGGAATAATCTGGGTTCTCCAATAAAGGTAATTCCGGTGCGAAAGTTTGAGTGACACAAAATGATGTGCACTTGGGAGGGAATTGGGGTTGGTGTTTGGGGAAGATACGGTGGTGGTGGTGAGTGTACGCTCCGAGCTCTGTGACATTTTCGAAAAAGAGAGGAGAGAGAAAACAAAAAAATTGAGTCACAGGATCCTATTGGCTAACTGATACCAGATGAGGTGTGGAAAGGATTAATCATTCAGTAACTGAATTCAGATTACACATATACTCTCAGGAGAGAGAACTATCTAAAAGGCATAAGACTAGATCTCTAACAGAAATACACAACTATATATTATAAGCTACATAACAAATAATATATTAAAACCATAGTCTAACAGGCGCAAAAACAAAGACGACAAAGTTGGAATTTCACAGCAATTCCAGGCGTTGACAGTGACGAGAGGAAGATCAACGGTGCCTGGCTCCAGTGGGAGTCACAACCGAGGTAGATCAAAGTCAAGGGGTAAGAAGAATGTAAGTGTTTTCACTGTGGCAAAAAGGGGCACTACAAGAATGAGTGTTGGCAACTCAAGAAGGATGAGACCAAAGGCAAAAATCCTGAGACATCAAATGCTCAGGGATGTGTTGTGAGTACATCGGATGAATGCGAAGTTTTATGTGGTGAAGCAGCAACGATTGTTGAAGGCAGGAAAAGTCTAGATGATGTCTGGCTAATGGACTCGGGAGCAACATGGCATATGACCTCACGGAAAGAATGGTTTCATGAATATGAACCTGTCTCTGGAGGATCTGTGTTCATGGGAGACGACCATGCCTTAGAGATTGCTGGCTTAGGTACTATCAAACTAAAACTGTTTGATGGTACGGTTCGCACTATCCAATAGGTACGACACGTGAAGGGCCTGAAGAAAAATCTATTGTCTCTTGGACAATTAGATAGCCGTGAATGTAAAATTCACATTCAGGATGGGATCATCAAAGTAATCAAGGGCGCGCTTGTTGTGATGAAAGCTGAGAAGATAGCAGTCAATCTATACATGCTTAAAGGAGAAACACAACTACAAGGAGAAGCAGCCGTTGCAGCAGACAATCTTATAGAGGAATCAACGATGATGTTGCATCAGAAACTTGGCCACATGTCGGAACGAGGTCTAAAGATTCTTGCTGATCAACATCTTCTTCCGGGGCTAACAAAGGTATCATTACCCTTTTGTGAGCATTGTGTTACAAGTAAGCAACATAGATTGAAGTTCGAGAGCTCTAAAGCAAGGAGCAAGGCTATCTTGGAGCTGATCCACTCCGATGTTTGGCAAGCACCAGTTATATCCCTGAGAGGTGCAAAATATTTTGTATCCTTCATCGACGACTACTCGAGGAGATGTTGGGTGTATCCAATCAAACAGAAGGCGGATGTATTTGAAGTTTTCAAATTCTTCAAAGCACGTGTGGAACTTGAATCCGAGAAACGGATCAAGTGTTTGAGGTCGGACAATGGAGGAGAATATACTAGTGATGAATTTGGTAAGTTCTGTTTGCAAGAAGGTATCAAACGACAGTTCACAGTGGCGTATACTCCACAACAAAATGGAGTGGCAGAGCGGATGAATAGAACCTTGTTGGAAAGAACAAGAGCAATGTTGAGGACTACAAATTTGGCAAATTCATTTTGGGCTGAAGCAGTAAAGACCGCCTGTTATGTGATCAATCGGTCACCATCAACCGCAATTGATCTGAAAGCTCCAATTGATCCTTATCTGCTTCCATCTCTATTGGATCACCATCTCTATCACCAGTGGTTCTTTTCGTCTTCTTTGTGCTTCGTTGGAGAAGGTCCTCTTCCTCCGTTGAGTTTCCGGTCAGAAGTTGTTTTTCCGACGAATCAGAGAGCATTTTCACCATTCTTAATGTAATATTGTAAAAATTATTATTTGAAACAATTATTTAATTTTATTTTTTTTTTTAAAAAAAAAACTTATCTTCTCCACAAGAGATGAAGAAACCTTCTTCGTCTCTGGTCGGAGACGTAGAGTCTTTTCGTCTCCGGCCATGGAGACAAATTAAAGATAACTTCTTCCTCTCAGGCAGAGACGATTTTTTTTTATTAAAAAAAAAATTAAATAACTATTTTAAATTTGGGGTGACCTGCTAAAAACCGGAAAACCTTCAAATTGGACTAATAAATTGTATGAAATTAGTTAGTTTAGAATCAAATTGTAATTTTTTTTAGGTTCCACTACTGGAAATTATTGAATTTTCGACAACCTGAAAGTGATCTTAAATCAAGTTGAAAGCAAAAAGTGGTCGGAAATAGCAACAAAGGTTTTTTCGTATACTAAAAGTGGTCGGAACAAGGCTTTTGACTTGATTTAAGATCACTTTCAGGTGGTCAAAAATTTCATAATTTCCATTAGTGTTCAATGAACTAATTGTATTATTGTGTACAGTTCGATGACCTATTTGACACTTGTTCCTTTAAACATTTTTGAAAAATACTTTTGAGTGTTCGCACATCAGAAGTCTTTAATCATACCTTTAAAGATAGTTTTGTAGCAAATCGTGCGAGTGTGTGAGAATGATAATTATATCTATATATTATTTAGTTGAAATTTAATATTCATTTTAAATTTATAATAAATTAGAATTTACTATTTTCTATATAAAAAGTTGTAGGTATGAAATAAATAAATAACACATATTTTGTATGTTATTCGATTAATAATAATGGAAATAAAGAACGAAGTTGGGTAATTGGATTTTACTTTGATAATAATAATAATAATAATAATAATAATAATAATAATAATAATAATAATAATAATAATAATAACAATGGTAATAATAATAGTAGTAGTAGTAATAGTACGTAGTAGTAGTAGTAATAATAATAATAATAATAATAATAATAATAATAATAATAATAATAATAATAATAATAATAATAATAATAATAATAATAATAATAATAGGTCATTTTTAAATTGGTTTTCCTTTTCAAATATTTTCATGATAAACTAAGGTTTTAAATTTGAAATTATGTATATTAAAGTTTTGAAGCCTAAATAATTAGTCTCGGCAACCTTTGAGGAGATAAATATGGAGGTGGTTGGATGGTTTGAGTAGTATAAATAGAGTGGAAAAAAAAGTAGAAGACAGCATTCAGAAATTCAAAAAAGGCATTCAGAAGAAGAACAAAAGATAATTAAAAAGGCACATGGTCTTGTACTCTATTCAAGGCTTTGTCCATGGGACTTCTATCGTTGGTTGTAAATTGTTAGCATTTCCTGTCATTATTTACACATTTTTCTTTTGTATTTTAGTATTTTCGCTTTCATGAGGATATGCTTAATAAGAATTACGATAAGAATTCTTTGGTGTCTTGAATATGATGAAATAACCAAGATAGTTTTAGACTTGTGTTTTATCAGCTAAATTTTTTTATTCTCTTGATTATTTATGTTATAGTCTAGCCAACTTGACTGTAACTTAGTCAAGAGTTTTGACGAAATTATTTGAGTACATGTCATTCCATTTAATTACATGCTCTGAAGCTTTGTAGGATAAAAAGGTAAGTACTTTATGTTGTCTTGCAAATTATTTTAAATTGGGGATTCTGTAGTTCTGATCTTCCGATCCGTGCTTAATGGATTTTTAGATGTTTAAATAAATGCTTTAGGCATATGAACAACTAATTAAGAATACATTATTACCTCTAGAAGCCATACAGAGTAATCTGGTAATAATAGTTAAAATGAACCTACCTATAATTTGAGTTTATAAATTGCATAATATTATATTATTTTTTAATGGACTCATCGACCCTTGCTTTTGCACATTGTGCCACTATGTGATTTGTGCACTTGTGAAGACTATTAAAATTGTCCATAAGAGGAATACGAATTGAAACAGATTCAACAAACTACATATATTATCTATTATCATGCCCTCGCAAGATGGACAGCCGTTCGACGAGGCCAATCTTGGACAATAAAAGCTGAAAGCGTCAGCTGGTAGAGGCTTCGTAAGAGCATCAACCAGTTGATCATCACTTGCAATGTTAGAAATACTAAGTTCACCACTCTAGACTCGCTTGCAATGTTAAAACTATTAAACTTGTCCATCAGAGAAGATTATTGTCAACAAAAATTAATAAAGAGATAAAAGTAGAGAAACATTATTGAGTCAATGATTCTTATAGTTGTTCGAGTAAACCCTACTACACTCTTCTCCTTAACAAAATTGGTCTAATGCTGACTTAATACAAACAAGTAGTCTTGTCACCCAAGTTGCAAACCAACCCAATAACTAGGTTACTTACTCATTAAGCTCCGTTGGCAGTCCTTCAAACAACCTTAGCTTCCTTACTAAGCGACATGATCTTCAATTCACTGCCCGACATCTTCAAGGATTGCATGCCCACTAAGTTGTAGATAGGTGAAGAATTGATGAATTTGCATTACTCAATGAATGTATTTATACTACAAAGATGAAGCTAACAACCTACTAAACTCAAGGTAATCAGAACAACAAATACGAATTGAAACAAATTCAACAAACTACATATATTATCTATTATCATGCCCCCGCAAGATGGACATCCGTTCGGCGAGGGCAATCTAGGACAGTAAAAGTTGAAAGCGTCAGCGTGGTAGAGGCTTCGTAAGAGCATCAAGCCAGTTGATCATCACTTGCAATGTTAGAAATACTAAGTTCACCACTTTGTACTCGCTCATGAATAAAACGGAAGTCAAGAGCAACATGCTTCATACGAGAGTGAAAGACTGGGTTTGCACACAAACTGCT